CCCTAGCGGCAGAAACTCGTACTACATCCGGTTCGCCCTCTATTGACACAGTCTTGAAACTTTCCGATCGCACCTCGTATTTTATCTATTTGTGCTGACTCTGTATATTGGCTTCTGCAGCTGTTGAGTTACGTTGGGTTAGGTTTGGTTAGGTTAGGTTAGGTTAGGTTAGGTTACGTTGGGTTAGGTTGGGTTAGGTTAGGTTAGGTTATGTTAAAATAAAGAATTGAACTGAATTATTACTTTTACTGCTGTCTTCTGAGTTGTAGCGCCGTGTAGTCTAGTAGAAGTTTGCCAACGTTTCGGAGTTCCTTGCTGCCTCCATCATCAGGGTCCCATTATGGTATATATTTTTATCGTCGCAGCCGAGTGGTTGGCATTCGTGCTTCGTATTCGGGGGAGTACCGGGTTCGAAACTCGGCCTGGAGACCTCCTATCTTTATTGAGAGTTTTAGTGGTTTTCCTCAGTCCTCCCGTTCAAATACCGGTTTAATACTTTCAATTAGGCCGCGACCGCTTCCTTCCGTGTCCTTAATAATTATTATTAGTTGGTCATTGTATCATCTGTCGCTTTTGGCGTGTGGTCTTAATTTCTGGCATCGTTTTTAAATAAATAACCAGCAAATGAACTATGGACAGTACGCACGTAAATAAAGGCTTACAAATTGATGGTCATTATCTCAAAAATTAAACGTCGTGCGCTACTTTTGTGATGATCTGGATTCCCACAATAACTTACATGCGTTCTAGTACGCACGCGCGGAACACAAAGCGACTGTGCGCTGTTTCATTCAGTTTTATCTGCGTGCTTTTGTTAACAGTTTATCAACAAATGCAGTAAAGTGAATTTCAGGAACAAATTAAATAATAAATATTCTGAGCAATTAGCTGTTGACTGATCTTTCATGTAGAGCTCCTCACTTTTTATTCAGTTACGTGATGGAGGCCGCCTTATTAGTAAACAACGTTAAACGGCGCACTCGAAAGTTCAGAAGGGGTCGGGCCGTGTGCTAAACGACAGAGTTCTGGCCTGTGTCGGCGTAAGTAGCGACACGCGCGGGCATCGTTGAACTAGTCGCTCATTTGTTTAGAGTATGTGTATTTCATATGACTCTCAGAATAAACAGTAATTAAACGGCGTTAACCAATTGACATTTGTAAAGGAGAAGCCTTGTGTTTTCTTTGCGGTACGGACTGAATTTTAAATATTTTCTTGTTTGGGTTTCAACATTAAGGGTTTCAGTTCTGTTTCAGTTGCATTGGTCAAAATAGAAAAAAAAAAACCTAGCGTTTCTGTAAAAGTAAAGATTAATTTATTTACAGCAAATATTTATGTGCGTTATTATTATTATAAAATTATTTTTTCGGAAAAAAATTCATTACTTACGTACAAATTTTGTCTGCGTTAAATTTGTGATGTTAAACCTTCATGTGTAGGAATTTTCATACTTTAAACTTCGTACAAAATCCCATATTCCTAGCTGCAGAGATTTATTACTTATCGCTGTCAAACTGACAGTTAAATCAGAAATCTCTCACGGCAGCCATGTTTTTTTCACATTCCGCAAAAAAATCGACCTTAACAAAATTTTTGTGCTTTTCGAAGATAATTTAGGGCCTCCAGTTTCGTTTACATGTCAGTGCGACCTCAAGCGGTATTACGCTCATGCCAAATTTCGTAAAAATCTGTCTTTTGTTTCATACGTTGTAAAGGGGAAAGATATAGTATAATTCTGTCATAAACTTATTATTTTCGTTAAGAAAAGGCAATAAGGAGGAAGTCAGGCTGAAAGGACGTATAAGGCGATATAAAATCAAGTTCGCACACAGACAAATACGCTGGCGTAATGGATTTTCCTCTGTAATTAGTGATTATGAAATATTTGGGTATCAAGACAGCCAGTACACTAGACTAGACATTTTGCATTGGCACACGGCCTCTGGTACATTCATTCGGCTACTGTTGAACCAATAAATAATCCGAAAAATATGTTGGTTACTCGTCCCGCAGTTTGGGCTAACAAAGCGAGGCGCGTGGCGTGTCATAATCTATTACCATCAATAAATAAACACAAGAGGAAAGAGTCGACAGGGGAGAGAACTGGATTAGCTGGACTGGGGCGGTCGTTGGCGAAATATTGAGAGGGTGTGCACCACTAACAGTGCATAATAATCCTAAGCGGATGTCACCCCTTGAACGGGGTTGGAAGCCCTTCGCCGTGATTACAGGACACGCTTCTCGTCTTCAGTTCGCTTCTTGATTCTGCCACCATCATCGTCGCGGTTGAACCGCTGCCCGAACTCCTAAGTATTCAGAAGGTCGCGATTTCAAATCTCGATGCTGATTAACTGAAGTAGGCCACGACCGCTTCCTACCACGTTATTCTCAGTTACCTATTATCTGGCTCTACGAAAGTTTTAGAGGTCCTTGCTGCCTTCATAATCAGGGCGGTGAATCGTTGTCCAGCAGACAGTCATATTCCTCCAAATATACAAGATCAAAACTAAGTTAAGTGTGGTATTTGACTTCAGTGACTGAGGAAGACCATAGGTTGTCTTTATCAGGACAGTATATTCCCCAGGTGGGAGTAAAACTGGATTCGTCACCCTGCTTCAACGTTATCATCATCTGGGGGAAATACATATTGGCAGATACCTCTCACCTGAAGACGGAGACAGAACCAGCCTCCGAAACGTCGAGATTTTAAAGAACAGACGATGGAAAAAGTCATGACGAAGAATAATTTTAGAGACATTAGCTGTTTCTGTATCAGTGTTAAATTACCTCTCGATTAGTGGAATAAGATTTTGCGTTGCTGAGATCAGAATCATTCTCACAGAATTAAAGTTCCGTGAAAGTTTATTACGAAACCATGTTCTTTATTTTGTGACTGATGAATTATTTGTATTCATGAAGACCTAAGGCTAGAATCTTGACCTGAGACACTTTAATTAAATGCATAATACACGGGATAAATGGACGAACATTTATCCAATATTATTTGGGTGGTTAAATCAAGGACTGGATATTTTCTTTAGTTGGGAGAAATAAGATACGAATACAAAGATGTGATGAGGAAGTCTCGTCCAAAGCAGAAGATAGACTGGGAGTGAACAGGTAGTATTAAAATTTATTTGGGAAAATAGCTCCAATATCAGGGCGATGCCCTGATGATGGAGGCAGCAAGGACCTCTGGTACGTCGGTAAACTTCTACCAGACTACACGGCGTAACAATCCAGAAGACAGTTATCTTCTAATTTTTACCTTTATAAATTATTTTGTGTAGAATTAAAAGAATTTAAAGTGATGAAAAACACGGTCACAGGTGAATTAGTGCTATGTTAAATCTGTGCTTGGATTCGAATCGGGTAAAGATCACGCACAGTTTACGATGCTCCAAGGAAGGAAGAATGCTGAGGTTTAGTGGGGTCTTGACAGTTTTGAAATTTGACATAACTGCTATATATTAAGTATATATTAAATCTTGTCCGTCTAATCACAATAAATTCTTATTAAATATTAAAATATTACAATAATTAACATTTAAAATATTTTAAAATATTAAATGATGTTCTTTATCGAAATATTCGATTT